ATATATATATATATATATATAAACTTGCCGAGTTCTTTAATTATCACATAAAATTTAAAGACAAGTTTCTTTATCTTTTGTAATCCTAAAAAAAAAACAGTCTCATAACAGTATTATTGATCCATTTTTTTCACTATAATACAAAAAATCGTACAATGAGAAAAAAAAATGGAAAAACTAAATAAAGACTTTTACATTTTTAGTGAAGATATTAAGTTTCAAGAAAAAAAAAATAGGTATTAGATATGTTTTATCTTGTAGGCATATAAATGATATTATTCCTTAACCTAGTGTTCTAGCAAAATGGTTGATGGATTTACACGTCATCTCTATCTATATTATCGTTTCAAAGTAAGTTCATACAAACAATAGATACATAGATATATCATTAGTTATAGATATGAAAAAATATTTCTTTTTAAATAAATAATGCCTGCTGGCATTCTTGCAAGAGTTTGTTTATTTGGTTATTACAGTCTTAATATACACACACATATATACACGCACATATATACATATATATATATAGAGAGAGGAAAGGGTGGTGATATTGTTGTATCTACAGGAAAGATTAGGTTTTTGGGCACTAGAAAACTACAGTAAACCTAATTTCAAATAGAATAATAGTCTCCTTCAAATAATTATATCCGGTTTACATCAATATCAACAGTTTTGAATGAAATATTTAGAGAGTAAATTCTTATAAGATTATACAAAAACACAAACTTTCGAATGATAATCGCATTGCTTATATTTTATCGTTTTTTTCGAGTACATTCTGATTATTCTAGTACGATCAATTTTATATTTAAAACCAAATTCAAATTGAATAAAAATATTATCATATACCAATAAAATTTGAATTAAAAGTTATCCAAATTTAGATAGTTCAACCGGTAAAACGGGTGCAAAGTGTCTGTTCGTTCCAAGTTTGAATCTCAATTTTGGAGAGAGAGCTTATATTTCAAATCACCTAGCTAATTTCTGGTCCCGAGATTAGTTTTGACCTTGGACCAAGATACCGATTATAAAAAAAATCGAATTAAAAGTTAATTAGACATGTTTTAACTCGAATTAAACCTTATCCGTTCACAAACACTAAAATATCCTACTGTTTTAAAAACAAAATAAATATTTTCAATAAATAGTAAAATTTAAATCTAAGTGAAACTGAAATTAAAAATCGAATGATATAATTTTTTAAAAATAAAACCCATGTGATTTGATATTTAAAAAATACATCTCTCTCCTATAAAATTCCCAAAACAAATTAATTGAATGTATAAATTTTGAGAGGTGAACAAGCACTCAAGTTAATAGATCACATGCCTTATATCCTCCGTAGATACTTTAGATTCCAATCCTCAAAGCTTTTAATTTGATTACATTTGCAGCCATTATTATCTTTATTCTTCGTGCCTTAAATGGACCTCCAAAAACGGTTTATGAAATTCGCGTGAAAAAAAGGCAACCCAAAAGACATTAAGAATCAGACTATTCAATTGATAAATAAGAATCCCATATTTTATATAAATAAATGATTCTTTATTTAAAAAAAAGGATAAAATATAAGAATCAACAAAAGTATATACTACGGGCTTAGAAAAAAGGAGGAAAAAATATGAGGTAATGAAACTTCCATTTATATTTGCTTTAGATTGCGGTGGTACCACGGCTCTGCCATTGCTTTAAAGAGCTTGCCGGAATTAAATTCCATACATCCTTATTCAAGAAAATTCATTTCCCTTACAACATTCATATACTCGAATGCCGTATAATACATGTATTTTTTTTGTATGCATGTAAAATATATTGCAACTAAAAATGTATAATAAGAAAACATATGAAATAATTATGTAAAAATAGAAATTGTTTCTCAATTATTATGACCTCTCTTGTTTTATCCCTTCACCTCTCTCCTTCCTCCTTCCTTCCCCCATCGGCCTCTCTGTAAAATTTTATCAGATTAAAAATCTGTTGAATTTAAGAAAAAGGTTCATTCTTTAAGCCGTAAATAAAAAAACCCAAATAAAAAAAACCCCATCTTTAGGAGCTAAGGGATTCGAAATGAAGAGGGAACACAACCACGGGAATACTTCCTCCGGCGGAGGCTGTAGCGGCGGAGCTGCGGTGGAGGGTGCGAGCTCAAGCTCATCAATGGCATCGAACAAAGGGAAGATTCTGAGGTTGGAGGAGAAAGAGACCACTGGAGTGGACGAACTGCTCGTGGTGTTGGGTTACAAGGTCTTGTCTTCCGACATGGCTGACGTCGCGGAGAAGCTCGAGGAGCTCGAGATGGTTCTTGGTTCTGTACAAGACGACGGAATCTCGCACCTGTCGAACGACACCGTTCACTACAACCCTTCCGATCTCTCCGGTTGGGTCGACACCATGCTCGCGGATCTCGACGCGACCAGGAACCACTGTCGGGTCTTCGAAGACCACTCTGAGTACGACCTCCGAGCCATCCCGGGCTCCGCCGCCTTTCCGAGACCTGACCCGGAAGAAGATGTGAACCGAAGAAAACGGGTCAAAACTGGGTCGGGCCCGGATCTCACCGAGTCGACTCGGTCTGTGGTTCTGCTTGACTCGCAGGAAACAGGGGTGCGTCTGGTGCACGCGCTAATGGCGTGTGCAGAAGCCGTGCAGCAGAACGACCTGAAGCTGGCCGACGCGCTCGTGAAGCACGTGGGTCTGCTCGCGGCGTCGCAGGCTGTCGGAGCCATGAGGAAAGTGGCAACGTACTTCGCCGAGGGCTTGGCGCGAAGGATCTACAGGATCTACCCACGTGACGAAGGATCTCTGTTCTTCTCCGACACACTTCACTTCCACTTCTACGAGTCCTGTCCGTACCTCAAATTCGCCCACTTTACCGCGAATCAGGCAATTCTCGAGCGGTTCGCGACGGCGGAGAGAGTCCACGTCATCGATCTCAGCCTCACCCTGGGATTACAATGGCCGGCTCTCATCCAAGCCCTCGCTCTCCGACCAGGCGGTTCACCAGCGTTCCGGTTAACCGGAATAGGCCAGGTCTCGGACTCGCCGGAAAATGCCGACCCTCTTCGTGAAATCGGATGGAAACTCTCTCACCTCGCTCGAACTCTCGGTGTCGAATTCGAATTCAAGAGTATTTCGGTGAATTGCTTGTCGGAGCTTGAACCAGAGATGTTCGAGACCCGACCCGGATCCGAATCCGTCGCGGTTAACTCGGTTTTCGAGCTCCACCGCCTCTTGGCCCGCACCGGTTCGATTGAGAAGGTCTTTTCGACTATAAAATCGATTAAACCGGATATCATCACCGTTGTCGAGCAAGAAGCGAACCACAATGGAGCAGTTTTCCTCGACCGGTTTACCGAGTCGCTGCATTACTCCTCGAGCCTGTTTGACTCGCTGGAGGGCCCACCGAGTCAGGACCGGATAATGTCCGAGTTATTCCTCGGACGGCAGATACTGAACCTTGTGGCTTGTGAAGGACCGGACAGGGTCGAAAGGCACGAGACGCTTTCTCAATGGCGAATCCGATTCGGTTCGGCAGGTTTCGAACCGGTTCACCTTGGTTCGAATGCGTATAAACAAGCCAGTATGTTATTAGCCCTATTTGCCGGGGCTGATGGTTACAGAGTGGAGGAGAACGACGGTTGTTTATTGCTCGGATGGCAGATGCGACCGCTCATCGGCACCTCGGCATGGCGACTAGCGGCCGGCTAGCAGCAGCTGTGAGTCAACTCGGTTGTGAGTCAAGGATTGTAAGACGATGCAAACCAAAATGTGCAAAAGGCTGCAGGATTTTACGTTTGTTTTAACTTTCATGAAGTAAAAACAAAAAACTTTAAATTTATATGGTCTTTTATTGAAATCGAATTTTATTACAATCGCACTTGATGTCACATTTTAGCGATCACAATAAATTGAAATAAATTTCAAGCAACTCCTGCAGTATTTCATTACAAAATTTGATGTGAAAAATTATATAATATTTAGAATCTATATTTAAAATTGAGATACATGTATTTTGAAAACTCAGATTATATTGTCTGATATTTTTTTATTTATCACATTTTTAAATATATTAACTTTAAAAAATATTTAATATTTCTTTTTCGTCATTCAGTATTCAACGAACATATTTTATATGTTATATTTATTATTAATTTGATAATACTTTTTTGTTGATTTGTTATGATATTGAATATAAGATAAAATAAGTAAGTGAATACAAAGAAATTTGAAATATATAAACTTATTTTAAAATAGAATATATGATACTGACTAGTCATACTAGATTTCATTACAAGTAATTATTTCGTATTATCTCTAATATGACATCATATTAATTTTGCTATATCTATCAATAATTTTCATTGAAAATATGGTGATGAAAAGATTGGCGTGAGAATAAATGATATTTATTCTTTCTAAAAAATAAGTAAATTAAAAGTTTCTCTTTTTTTAATTACTCTCTCAAAATCATGAGAATAAAAAGCATATTATATTATAATATTTTGAACCGCAATTGAGAACAACAGATCTAAGAACTAAAAGCGAAGGTGGTTCTGTATCCAAAGGAAAAGGCGTCGACGTCGACGGGCTTGATGAAGAGGTACACGTGGGACCCATCCTGGATCCCACAATCGATCAAGAGACGTTGATCGTCATCGAGGATGATCAAACGGCTGAGATCCTCCGATGGGATCATAATCAGACGGTCAGGATTTACCTTCAGGTGGGCCCTAATCTCCTCTCGCAGATCATTCACCGTTGATTCTCTCCCAACTTCCATGTAAAAGAATCCTCCTGTCAGAATCTCCACTGAAACCGTCATCGTATAAATAAAATTTTCTAAAAAGTTTTAATTTTTTGTTTCGGAAAACTGAAAGAATTTCTGGGATTTATATATATATATTGATTAACGTTTACGGCTAATGCATGCATGTGTAATTACGTTGGAAGGAAATAAGGATAAGTCAAATACAAAAAATTAGGGTTTTAAAAGTTTTTCCATATTTGTTTTTGTTATATTGATTATGATCTTTTTGCCTTTTCTGATTGGTTGACTGCAATTAAAATTTTATGTTATAGAATTGATTTTGGAATATTGTCTGCTCTCGTGATATTTTTATTTGAAAAATCTACATTTTTTTAATATATTACCTTTATATTACAATAATTATACAAATTTAGAAATTTATTTTCAAACGTTTCGAATCAAATTTTCAGAACGAAAGAGCGCACATAGAAAACACTATACAACACGTGTTTTTAGAATACGTACATCAGTATGTTTTGGAAAAAAATCATATGTATTCTCTCGATATATATATATATATATATATCGTATATTTTGAAATGGCAGGAAGAGAGAAAACTGGGACAAATTTTTCTGTGTTATTCTTCAAAAAGAAAAGTCTCCACACTTATACATCGACCAAATTCAAAAACACTGAAACAGAATAACAGGCGCCAACATTCAAAATCCTAAACCAAAGAATACTAAACCGGAAAATTAAACCAAAACAACCCAAAGACAAAGTCTTCTAATACTCCCCCTCAAGATGGAGAATACAAAGACTGTATTCCCATCTTGGAAATCAAATGACGAGCTTGATCGGTGGACAAAGGTTTAGTGAGTAAATCCGCAACCTGTTCCAGAGAAGAAATATGCTCAGGCTTCAGAAAACCAGCTTTATACTTGTCCCGAACGAGATGACAATCTAATTCGATATGTTTGGTCCGTTCATGATAAACCGGATTACTCGTGATGTGAATTGCAGACTGCGAGTCACAAAACAGAGGTATCGGTTCTGGAAAGGTAAACGACAGCTCCTTCAGCAAAGATGAAATCCATACCAGTTCACAAGTAGTATGAGCTAAAGCTCGATACTCAGACTCAGCACTACTACGAGACACCGTCACCTGCTTTTTAGATTTCCAGGAAACCAAGCTGGAACCCAGAAAAATACAAAATCCGGTAACTGACCTTCTCGAGTCAGGGCATGATGCCCAATCTGCATCACTGTATCCACTGAGTGTCATCGGCGAATCTGAAGCATAGAACAAACCTTGAGCAGGAGAAAGCTTCAAGTAACGGAGAACACGATGAGCAGCATTCAGATGCTCTGTTCTTGGTTGTGACATAAACTGAGAAAGTTTATTCACAGAGAAAGAAATGTCAGGTCTCGTAACAGCCAAGTAAATCAACTTTCCTATAAGCTTTCTGTAATGAGTTGGATCAGATAAGATTTCACCAGAATCCTTTCCCAGTTTTAAACGTGTATCCATGGGTGTAGTAGCAGGTTTACAACCCAGATAACCAAACTCTTCAAGCAACTCCAAAGCATACTTTCGCTGGCACAAAAAGACACCTTGTTTTGATCTAGCAAATTCCAGCCCCAAGAAAAACCGAAGTTTGCCTAGATCTTTTACCAAAAACTGAGACTTCAAGGTAGCTTTAAGATTCTGTACAAGCTCCAAATCATTTCCAGCAATCAAAATGTCGTCGACATATACAAGAGCTGCAACAATGGATGTACCTTGTTTCTTCACAAACAGAGAATTGTCTGCGTGAGATTGATGATATCCTGCTTCAATTAAAACACTCGACAACTTCTGATTCCATTGGCGAGATGCCTGCTTCAAACCATACAAAGATTTCTGCAATTTACAGACAGCATTTTTTGAAAAATGCTCCCCCTTAAGCTGTGAATATCCTGGTGGCAATGTCATGTATATTTCCTCATCCAAATCACCATTTAAAAAAGCATTAGAAACATCCATTTGATCCATAATCCAATCATTTGCAGCAGCCAAAGCAATGAGAACACGAACTGTAGTTAGTTTCGCAACAGGGCTAAAAGTCTCCACATAATCAATCCCTTCCACTTGAGTATATCCTTTTGCAACTAACCTTGCCTTATACCGCTCAATAGATCCATCAGCATTGTGTTTAATCTTAAACACCCATTTACAACCGATTGGTTGCTTGCCCTGTGGTAAATCACAAACTGACCAAGTGTTCGTCCTAGACAATGCCTCTAACTCCAAGAGCATAGCATCTCTCCAATGATCATCAAAAACCTCACAACATTACGCCGTTCAAAGAACTGATTCCACCTATCATCTGCTTTGCAATTACAACGACCACAAGTACAACTAGGAAAAGGCTCATAGTTCTTTAATTCCTCCCATAATGCAGTCAATTTGTTGTAATATGCAGCAACACTAAGAGATCCTTGATAGAGGTTGTCCAGTTGGAGTTGAATTGAATACGTCTTAGAAACATTTGTTTGCTTAAATCGGCGCTCGAAATGTTTCCAGATATCACTTGTAAGATCAAGATATAAAATCATAGTACCTACTTCTGCCGAAACTGAATTAGTCAACCAAGTAGTGACCAAATCATTGCAGCGCCACCATGCACCAAAATCAGGATGATTCTCATCAGGCTGTGGCACCAGACCAAGCACAAATCCAAGTTTATTCTTCACGCTCAGAGCTTTCCGCATAGCTCTGGACCAGACCGCATAGTTCGATTCGCCTTGCAATGGATCTTTGACAAGAATCATACTCGAAGAATCAGCAGCATGCAAATACAAGGGATTTGCATACGGATCCAACGGAGAAGTCGTTGTGGAAGATCCAGCAGCAGCAGAGGAATGATTCGGAGACAAATGCTCTGAATCCATCATTACGTAAAAAAAAACGAAGAATCAAAGAAGAAGAAAAACGATCGATTGGAGCTCTGATACCATTTTGAAATGGCAGGAAGAGAGAAAACTGGGACAAATTTTTCTGTGTTATTCTTCAAAAAGAAAAGTCTCCACACTTATACATCGACCAAATTCAAAAACACTGAAACAGAATAACAGGCGCCAACATTCAAAATCCTAAACCAAAGAATACTAAACCGGAAAATTAAACCAAAACAACCCAAAGACAAAGTCTTCTAATAGTATATCAGATTGAATTCACTCCTACTTTAATATTGAATTTATATAAATAATGAAAATGGAAATAAACATAATAAACCACAGACTTATGTCTCGATTCGTATATAAAGTATATCTAAAACCACATTTAAACGCACGATTGATACATATGATCGCAAAAATGAATGCATTCGACATCACATTGATTGATAGGTGTCGCTCAACCATTGATCATAAAGGATGGCAGTGACTAATCGAACGGGTAACTTTAATTTTATTTCTTCTATGAAAAATAGGCCAAACCATCCAATAACTCATAATGGTATTGGCACCGAATCTGATATAAAAATAAGTATAATTTTTTAAAATTAAAAATTTAAACAATAACCAAATCCAAAACAAATTGTAAAAAAATAATTTTATCAAGAGAAAACGAATATAAATAAAAACGAATAAAAGTAAACCTAATATATAAAAATCGCACGAATGTAATTTTTAAGATAAATATATCTGAATCTAAAAATATATAATTGTGAAAACAGTGAACCTAATTAACACATAATTAAGGAAGATTAAGTTGAAAGAGTGGGTGCACGAGTGTGCCATGTCATAGTCAAGCTGTCTTTCTCTGACTTACAAAGCATAACCACCCAAAATGCGCACACACAGGTCAGCATGACAATGGTAGTTATGATGATGATGATGATGATGATGTTGATGATGATGATGATGAGACCAAGAGACACTATCCTTTCCTTTTGATTTTTTTTTTGTTGTTGTTGTTCTTACCTCTAATCATAATCAACTATTATCCATTTTGATTAATCAAATGTCCGATATGCCCTTTTAATGTTTCTTATCTTTTCTTAATTGCTTGAAACGTGACTACTCGCACCAGTGTCCAATATCCAAATCACAGTAGGCAGAGAAAATGTGGTATTTAGGGCCGAAAGAATAGGGTGAGAAGGGAATATAGTACCTGATGAAAGGTTGGAAGAAGGTGAAGCTGTTAAATCCTTCACATTGTATGAGCTTCTAAGTCCTTGTAGTTGAGAGGTAAATTGAGCTAAGAGAGCCTCAGCCTTCTCATCAAAACCAGGATTGCCGCTGTTTGATGTGTCTGAAATTGTCCCAGAATTCACCATGTTGACATAACTCTGATTCTTCCCACCAAAGTTCCTTGGTTTCTGCTGTGTGGATCTATTCTGCCAGGTATTTTGTTGCTGACTCTGCCAGTTGTTTTGATGTGGAGGACGAGGACCTTGAGGATAACCATGAATTTTGAAACATTTCTCCACTGTATGGTTTGTCATACCACAATGAGTACATAACAAACGAGGCTTAGAACCTTGCTGAAGTGAATTAGAGTGACTTGGAACATATCCAGATCGAGATCTATTCTGCTGTGGAGGCACAGAAGATTGAAAAACTACTGAATCTTGTGGTTGAGAAGAAATCTGTCTCTGTTGATCATCATGAGTAATCAAATTGTATGCTCGATCCAAATCAGGAAGAGAATCATTCATCATAATCTGTCTCCTAACTGGTGTGTAAGAGTCATGCAAACGCATCAAAAACCTCACAACATTACGCCGTTCAAAGAACTGATTCCACCTATCATCTGCTTTGCAATTACAACGACCACAAGTACAACTAGGAAAAGGCTCATAGTTCTTTAATTCCTCCCATAATGCAGTCAATTTGTTGTAATATGCAGCAACACTAAGAGATCCTTGATAGAGGTTGTCCAGTTGGAGTTGAATTGAATACGTCTTAGAAACATTTGTTTGCTTAAATCGGCGCTCGAAATGTTTCCAGATATCACTTGTAAGATCAAGATATAAAATCATAGTACCTACTTCTGCCGAAACTGAATTAGTCAACCAAGTAGTGACCAAATCATTGCAGCGCCACCATGCACCAAAATCAGGATGATTCTCATCAGGCTGTGGCACCAGACCAAGCACAAATCCAAGTTTATTCTTCACGCTCAGAGCTTTCCGCATAGCTCTGGACCAGACCGCATAGTTCGATTCGCCTTGCAATGGATCTTTGACAAGAATCATACTCGAAGAATCAGCAGCATGCAAATACAAGGGATTTGCATACGGATCCAACGGAGAAGTCGTTGTGGAAGATCCAGCAGCAGCAGAGGAATGATTCGGAGACAAATGCTCTGAATCCATCATTACGTAAAAAAAAACGAAGAATCAAAGAAGAAGAAAAACGATCGATTGGAGCTCTGATACCATTTTGAAATGGCAGGAAGAGAGAAAACTGGGACAAATTTTTCTGTGTTATTCTTCAAAAAGAAAAGTCTCCACACTTATACATCGACCAAATTCAAAAACACTGAAACAGAATAACAGGCGCCAACATTCAAAATCCTAAACCAAAGAATACTAAACCGGAAAATTAAACCAAAACAACCCAAAGACAAAGTCTTCTAATAGTATATCAGATTGAATTCACTCCTACTTTAATATTGAATTTATATAAATAATGAAAATGGAAATAAACATAATAAACCACAGACTTATGTCTCGATTCGTATATAAAGTATATCTAAAACCACATTTAAACGCACGATTGATACATATGATCGCAAAAATGAATGCATTCGACATCACATTGATTGATAGGTGTCGCTCAACCATTGATCATAAAGGATGGCAGTGACTAATCGAACGGGTAACTTTAATTTTATTTCTTCTATGAAAAATAGGCCAAACCATCCAATAACTCATAATGGTATTGGCACCGAATCTGATATAAAAATAAGTATAATTTTTTAAAATTAAAAATTTAAACAATAACCAAATCCAAAACAAATTGTAAAAAAATAATTTTATCAAGAGAAAACGAATATAAATAAAAACGAATAAAAGTAAACCTAATATATAAAAATCGCACGAATGTAATTTTTAAGATAAATATATCTGAATCTAAAAATATATAATTGTGAAAACAGTGAACCTAATTAACACATAATTAAGGAAGATTAAGTTGAAAGAGTGGGTGCACGAGTGTGCCATGTCATAGTCAAGCTGTCTTTCTCTGACTTACAAAGCATAACCACCCAAAATGCGCACACACAGGTCAGCATGACAATGGTAGTTATGATGATGATGATGATGATGATGTTGATGATGATGATGATGAGACCAAGAGACACTATCCTTTCCTTTTGATTTTTTTTTTGTTGTTGTTGTTCTTACCTCTAATCATAATCAACTATTATCCATTTTGATTAATCAAATGTCCGATATGCCCTTTTAATGTTTCTTATCTTTTCTTAATTGCTTGATTGGAAGTTCCTCAAATCAATGTTACATTAATGACTGTCATTTCATGTCCCTGATTTTTTATTTGCATTTTCATATAAAATTAGATGTACTAATTAGCGGTGTGAAAGATTATTCGCATATGTTAGGGTATAGTATAACAGTTTAACTTTGATTACATTTGTGATATTCGTAGATTTTGAAAAATTATTCATACGGTTAGAAGATCTGTTTTCAATCTAAAAAAATTATTTTCATTTTATTCTTAATATCAATTTTGTTGATTTTATATCTTTTAAGATAATAATTTTAACATTTTGTTAGCGTATATTTTTTAATTATTTAATATAATTTATTTTATTTATATTCCAATTGCATCTTCACGGACGTTTAGTCGATTAATTATTTAATACTAATATATTTAAAACAATAAGATAGGGTCCCAAATTGATAACATTCATGTCCTTCATCAAGATATCATTTCGACACCAAATAAAATTATATTACTTACGTATAGAATCGATTACAATAATAAAAAGGGAGAAAAAAATGGGAAAAGTTTGCATGAAGCACTCAAATTAATGTGTCTAATCACAAGACTTAATTAAAAGACTAAGGAAAATTGAATGGTTAAAGTGTCATTATCTCCTTAATTAAGGAGGTAATGTGTTTAACATGGATTTGTGCTCCTTTTGATGTTGACCTCAACGTCCACTAACAAATCATATCATTCTCTCTCTTAGTCTTAATCTTTTATCATATGTTTTTTTACATTATTGTCCGTAAAAGCGTGTATAAAATAAAGTTTAATAATTTAAAAATAATTTATAAAGAAAAAAGTAATACGGTGAACAGAAATTTGAATGACAACAGAAAATCCGTGTTACAGATCATCAATTACTTTTTATATTTAATAACTGTTTATGGAAAATAGCCACCAAGGAAATCGATTTGCTACGTAATATATATACACATATATAAAATATGAATATAAAAATTGGATCTAGACATATATAGAAAATCATTCTATTTTCTTAGATAGCTTGTGTCGTATATATTTTCGATAATTGACTAAAGGATGTATATCTACTTGAATTTAGAACAATTGTTAATTCGGGTTTAAATACTGGAATTTCACATTATCATATCACTACAAAAAAGATAACATAACTAGATATTATATATATATATATATATATTGATAATTAGGTCATGAATATATATATATTGATAATTAGGTATCATGGATCGAAATCTTGACTATTTTAGTATCTGATGACATTATATCAAGATTCCAATCATAAAAGAGGATTAGATATCTCATCTTAATTATATTTTAACAGTGATTCAATTTCCCATCTAGACCAACAAAACGTACGATAGATAAAGCATCATGAAACTACCATCATTTAATTTATTATTAATTTACTAATTGATCAAATATTATTTCTCACAAAGCATAAATTGAAAATTAAATGAACTATTTTTCTTCCAATTAGATTTATCATTTAAGAGTTCGGCTCATTTATGATAATTCCAGCTTTTGACCGAACCTCCTCAACTGTGGGAAGGTTTGCACGGACGGGAATTTAGAGATGTATTTTGTCACGATAAGTCTTCTTTATTTCTATGATATTTTTTTTAATACAGTTGACAAGTTTCATTGGATTTGGACCGTATATATGAGTTTTAGAAACATATATACACACATATACACGGAAAGATACACACACACATATATATAGATATGTAGAATTTGTTTATTCGGAAATTCAATCAAGTCTAAACAATTGGACGTTGACACTATCGTTATCGTTTTAGTTTTTTTCAAATGATAACTAAAGTTTTTTTTTTTCCGTAGAAATATTTACATATGCTTAAAAGCGTATTCTATTAACTGGAACGTGATTTGTGATATTCATGTATAATATTTATATATGTGTATAAAGTTAACAAAACTAAAATAATATATTCGAATTCAAACCGACTTGTTCGTCCTTGAAATGAGTTTATAAAGATACTATTGCAATGTTTACATATTCTCGGTACGTAGGCTATCTCTAGAGTGATTGATCGTATGGTCTTATAATTAGTTTATAAAGATACTATTGTAATTATGTAAATTTAGGATTTTTTAACATAATGTTTTCTATTATAATGTGTATTATTCAAATAAAATACATAGAAAACCATTTCCATTTCGTGCTCACCGAAACCCATCTTAGCTTTCGATTCATTTTGATATGGACCGATTTTGATATAGAATAATGTATATTATATATGCTTTAACAATCAAAAGACTATAGTTAAGTTTTTGAATCTTTCATTAAGATTGGTGACTAATTTAATTGGTGGCAATAACAAAACGAATCCTATTCTTTGAACCAATTTTCAAGCTTTAAACATGAGCCTCTATTTTGCAAATTTCCCTTAAAAGATCATATTCTCATTCCCCCAAAAGATAATAATTTCTTACGACCCTCCAAACATAATTTTTTTCCAAATTTTTCCTAATGGAGAATACGAATCTCATTGGACCATTACATCACGTAAACAGACAAAGCATGATCTAGTCACTTGCGTTATTTTCATGTCCCATACATATATTATCCGAAGGACCGATTATGGCTTTATCGAAGTTATTAGGTCATGAAGTTTGAAGGGCTTGAGAAGCCAAGCTTTCCATCCATGGCCTCTCCGAGCTCTCGTCTCTCCTCTTCCTTCGTTTTCCGACGACAGTTGTTCTTTCTTGCACAGCAAGAAATCTCTCCCTTCGACAGAACCGATCTTCTCCTGCGGAATCAGAGCTAATGGGCCGATGCAATTACACGTCAAAAAGTTGAATTACTGTGTATAAAAACGTAAAACTGTGATCTACACTTCAATGTTGAATGAAGAATTCATGAAGCAAACACATTTCCGTTATCCTGCTCAAGGAATGGGAATCCACAAGAGGAAACCGGTTTTGATTGCCAGTCACTTGGATCAATCTATGCACCAGGCTGAGAATTTCATCGGATATAAACACGATTCATCAAACTCATCCTTCATATTTCATGAATAAGAGAATCAGAAACATATTTTCAAGAGACTAAGCATGTTAGAGAATCCCATAGTTGAAAACTGTGTTCAGATTCATGTATTGATATCAGAAAACAGAGTGTAGAGAGAGAGAGAGAGAGAGAGAGAGAGGTTAGATACCATTGAATCCGGAGCTAGCAGAGTAGAGGAGGAAGTTACGGGCATGGAGACCGAGAACTGGAAACCTGTCTTCACGAGCGTAAGCTCTAAGGGCGGTGTCTATGACAACGGAAACTTCATCTTCTTCATCAACCAAGAACCTTAAGGGACCTGCACTTCCAAGAACATTGACACTTACCAAGAATCTCTTCTTCTTCTTCGTCTTCTTCTCCTTCTTCTGTGAAATCATCTCTCGTTTCGACATCCCATTTCCCTTCATCTCACTTGTAGTGTTCGAGACTCGGAAAACCAGAGGAAGGTATTAAAGGAGAGGCATAGAGAGTGGAGCTCATACCCGAAATGCCCCTTTCGGTAGGAGCAGAGAGGTACATGAAAAAGGGGTTGCAGAAATCGGAACCATTGAAGTCTGGTTCGGTTTCTGGGGATTTGGTTTTGTCGGATGAAAAAAGCAAAGAGAAAAGCAGAAAGGAAAGGCAACTAAGTCTTTTAGAGCATGCAAGTACAAAACCCTCCAAGAAAAGCAAAAAAAAAACCTTGTGAGGTTCTTTTATGCCTTGCTATTACCTGTACGAGTCAGAAAGAATAAGTTCAAATATTTTCGGACCGACGAAAATTATATTCATGATTTTTACACATGAGACGTGCCTGAATCGCTAAACCAGTAGACAGTCACTAATTTCCATCAAGATCGATATAAAGAGATAAAGACTCGAGCAGAATCTTTATGCCCTTTGGCTGGTTGTTTCAGATATGTGCATTTACTACGTATTGCAATGTAGACAGAATGTTGCGGAAAAGAATCTCTTCTGATGTCAAGATTCTTATAAAGTTGCCGGAGCTATTCAACAACTAAAACGTTGTTTTCCATCATTCCCTCGCCGACGGTTGGGAACTCCGGCGACAATTGCCACTCTCCGTCCACCAAGAACTTGATCTCGTACCTTACAGAAACCAGGAGATTTTAAAAAACGGGTTCCAGAATGCATGAATACCAGCGAAAAATACGGGACGAAAACAAGAAGGTCGGGTTTTGAATACAAAGATATCCAGATTGAAGAAAGGTACCGTCCAGGTCGGAGCATCAACGTGGCCGAGAACTTGGTGTAAGAACCGGTGTATTCAGGGGATAGATCCTCCCCTTGGCTCCATCCATCGAATGTGCCCATTATCTGTACACTCTGCAGTATTCTCACACGGAAAAATCAAAGATGAGTTTGGGAAAAACAATCCCGAGACTATAAAGTTTCAACCTTTTTCATCCTAAGCTTTAGATGCAAATATTCGTGTAACGTACCTCTGCCATGCCGTACCAAGACACATGAACTTCCTTGGACTCTGCAGCCTCAACATCTTTCATCTGTTTCTTCAACTTCTCTTGCACAGCTTTAATGCAAACAACACGACCAAACACACGTTAAAATTCAACGGTCGATAGTGTGAGAGAATGCGATGAGTGATTTGATTATATATGGACAGATCTTCAGAAAACCGGACGAAGAAACAGGAAGAAGGAGAAGAGAATAACCTTCTAGACGAGAGAGAAGGTGAGACTGAATGTACTTTCCGTTGATCTTCCTAGAACCTTTCGGGATTCCGAGGTTTGCTATTTCTTCTGCCAGTTTCACCAAAGCCTAATCCTCCAGAAACGAAATTTTGCGGATTATAAAAAGAGCGAGCACGTCAAAGGCTACTGGCCGAATGATATGTTCCTCTAAGGAACGATTCACATATTCTCATGCATGTATATATGCGTGGATGGTTTCATCATATGGTGAAAACCCATCAAACTAAGAATCTTACCTCAATTACAGGATTACCAAAGAATGCAAAACCGAAACCATTTCAGTGTAAATGCTGCTCTCTAAATATATCTACACTATACTCACATGTAAATTTATGTAATTACTGATTCAACTCAAACAAAGCACATGTATAAAGACCTGGACTTCAAGTTCCATAACTGCAAGCTCGCTTTTGAAGTTAGCCAAGTCATCCTCCTGTGTTTTCAGCTGTAGAATAAGATCATCATCCATCACCAAAACCAAAATGGTTGACCCGAAACATGAACTAAATGGGAATGAATCCAAAATGTATGTTTTATTCTATGTGAGCTTCCTCGTTAAGCAACAATAGTATCAGAACTACAGTTGTTCAGGCAACATCACACATTATCCAAAGAAGTCTTGCATGTGTATTAGCTACCGTTATAGAAACACGCAAAGATGAAAATCAATGTTCAAGAATATGAACAGTACTGTCCTACAGATCAAGATCCGAGAGTATGTACAATACACATACCTGACGCTTGAGAAACCGATTCTGCTGATTGGCTTCACTTAATTTTTTGACAAGCTTCGATCTTTCAGAATCAATGAACAGTGACTTCAACTATCAAAGATCCTCACAAATATATGATTATCAATTACCAAAGTCGAAAAAGGAAAATTTGCCTGCATTAAGTAAGAAAGGCAAGGCACGCAAGATAACCTCATCACTGGTCAATGGACGAGAAAGAGGATCCTCGGAAGAATCTTCCATTGAAATGTCCTCATCATGGTTTATGTAATCACCAGACTGTGTAAAAGGGGATTCCTCTGCCCCAACATGCACTGAAAATCTTTTAAAGGGCAACCCTCTCTCACGAGACTTATATGTGGAAGCTAAAGTACAAGAAGGACGATCTCGAAATCGCAATCCTTTGGCCCAACCAGCCATTTTGCACTGAACCACTGAACAACTCGGCAAATTCCATATCCTTAGGCCGCAATGAAGTAAAAGACTTTTCTCAAGACAGCGGCTTTTGGAGAAGGAAACAATAAAGGGTAAGAGCATGTCCATAGGCCGGAATGAAGTAATGATGAATGCAAAGCAGAACATGAAAGATCTTGTGATTTAAAGCAAGACCAAGTAGAAAACAAAACAGAATATTCGAATCACATACCTCAAAGAATCGATTTCCATTCTGCAAACTCAGCCTAAGAAAGTTATATAAACTCGGTAAACATAAAGGGTTTCCAAATTGCGACAAAATGTTAGGTAACGACATAAAAAACGATAAAAATGGAAAGATAAACATGAAATGTGGGGAATTCAGAATCCTAAACGGAATGCGTATACGAACTACTTCTATAATCTCAATGTACATTGTCTAAATGTGTAGGAGAGTATAAAAATGCGTATACGAACTACTTCTATAGAGATCTCTAAAGTAACACAACATACACATATACACACCTATACAGATGATGCTGGATACTACATGTGTATCTGTACATGCATTTGTATTCTATCTATGCATATGCATACACACATATGTATATATATATATATATCTACTTATCTTTGAGTTCAATAGCACTGGAGATGTGTCTTGCATCTCTCAGCGAAAAAACACGGAACTAAAGAATTTCAGATTAACACCCACAAATTTCCCAGGACAGAAGAAAACAAAGTTAGGGTTTTTTTGTTTGTAAATCACAATGTTCGAAACGATGAGCTTAAATGTTTGTCCCTAAAACCGATTGAACAAACGAAATGAGAAGTAAGTTAGCAAGACATCGAACAGAGACTCCGAGAACAAGAACAAGATCAGAGAGAAATCATGTGCGAGAGATGACGCAAAGAGAGACGGGCGATGAATTCCAAATCACTTTCGAGGACTTACCCAGATCCCAAATTCGACTCTTTTACCCTTTTAACTTTGGGATATTTTGTGATTAAACGTTTGTAATTTGGTCTTCGTTCACAAAGACCGAGAGACGCTGAAGAAGCTCGGAGAATGGAAAGATGACTTTCTGGAGATATTTTAATTGCAAAAGTAACCTCTTATTTTTATTTTCATTGATATTCTACCCGGAAAGATGTGAACTGGCCTCTTGGATGGGCCCGCCGGTGACTATCCCGGGGAAGATTCTAAATAATTATTTAAGAAAATTTTGCCTTTTAGTTTTTATTTATTTATCTTACTTTGAATGCACGATTAATATAGATTTTAATTAATAAGACAAAAAATGTTTCGATTTAGTATGAATTTTAATCCAAGATACTGTTTAAATATTCAAATTATTATATATTTCGGTTTAAATATCCGAAATAAAAAATAAAAAACTATTTTTTTTGTTATAATGTAACTGTATTTACACACGGAGAGGTATTTGTGTTTGTAATAAATTAATAAAAATTAATCTCTTCTTGTTTTGCTGTCAACGGGCTACTGAAAATTTAAAATTTAAAATGTCCTTTGGTCCTTATTTAAGAGCCACAAGAGAGAGAGACGAGGGCTCAAGAGAATTCGCCTCTCCCGAACTCTCGGTCCCGATGAATCGCCTTCGAGTTCTCTCGACTCTTCGGAGAAGAACTCATCCTTCTTCCTCTTCCTTCTCCGTTTCACGACGGCCCATCACCATTGCCTTTGACAGCTCCTCCGATTCTGGGTTTTCTTGGAGTTCTTCCAGCCGCGTCCGAATTGGGGCCTCGATGCGACTGTGGGTTTTGATCAATCTCTGTTTTTTCTTCTCTTTCGTGTCAATCTGATCTGTCAATGGAGTTTTCCGCCAAAGCCTGTTACTTTCTTGGGGTTCTTTCAAAACGGCTGCGTGAGGATTCGAACGTTTCTTCTATTTCTCTCGGTAAGCATTTGATTTGGTTATCATTCTCCGTAATCTTGCAATTTCTTTTTTTTCTTCAGTTTTAAATAGATTCCCGAATGATAACCTGGATCGCCAGTTTCTCATGGTGATGTTTGTACGTAGCCTGAAATTCTGCGAGGGCTTGGAAACGGGTCAATGATTTAAATGCGGGTAAACCAAAATTTTCATATCGCGACGGCTCTGGAGGGTATTCATGCAGTCTACATCATCTTCAGCTCTCGATAATCTTTTCTGGACAAGCTGGTACGTTTGTTTCAGTGCAAGTTTTTGTATGGGAAAATGAGAACCTCTCGTTGATGAAGACATGCATTTTCAAGCCTTTAAATGCATCGATTTTTCTCTCTGTACGCTTTCAACGTCTGAATGTCTGTTTTGGATTGCTCCTAACAATCCTCCCTTGGCATTTGTACAGGAACTCTTGTTTGCTTGGGGTTTTTCCTTTGGTTCATAACTTAGCATGCATCATGTCAAAAGATTTACTCATCCATCCTTTTGTCTTGTCTAGTGTTATACATACCACTTTCCTGTTGTAGTTTTCCCACGGCTAGAAATCAGTAGTGATACAGTTTACTTTTGCTGACAGCTGCTATGAGCATACAAATACCTGGGTTATTTTTTTTGTTCATTCTGAATCTCTTATGTTCTTGTTCAGCAGCTCTTGGGTTATCCACAAACCCCGTTTTGGCAGAAGGCCTGCCTATTGAATCAAATTCCGGAGGTAAGAGACGAATGAAGCTAGCATAACTGGATTGAAAAAAGTTGAGGATGGAACTGTGGTGTCTAATATACACACATCTAAATGGAGGGTGTTTACTGATAATGGAAGAGATTATTTCTTACAGGTTAAAATTCCGAGATTACTCTGTTTTGTTTTGTTTTTTATTAAGCAATTATTTGTCGCTTTCTAATTTACTCTTTCTTACTAGGGAAAAGGCTTGAGAAGTTTTTATGCTCAGCATTTCGGGAAGCTAAGGAAGGTTTTGGAGAGAGGGATCCACATGTTGCTTCTGCATGCAACACTCTGGTTGGGTTTTTATACCTTTTTGCAGCTCTTAGTGTGCTTCATTTGTTTCAATTTTACCTCTTTTAACAACTACTTTGCAACTATATGCATCTGAAGATGCAAAGTTTTGAGATACCAACGGTATCAACCTCTTTGAAGCGACCCAAATGCGAATAACTCTAACAAGAACCAACCTCTTTGAAGTGACCCAAATCCGAATAATTCTAACAAGAACCAACTAGGTATAAGTCACTCACAAAAGCTAGCTTGTATGGGGCGCCTAAGGGCCTTATAAACTGTAGGTTTTCAGATTAGTGCCGAAAAATTTTGAGATACCAACGGTATCAACCTCTTTGAAGCGACCCAAATGCGAATAACTCTAACAAGAACCAACCTCTTTGAAGTGACCCAAATCCGAATAATTCTAACAAGAACCAACTAGGTATAAGTCACTCACAAAAGCTAGCTTGTATGGGGCGCCTAAGGGCCTTATAAACTGTAGGTTTTCAGATTAGTGCCGAAAAATGAAGTAATAAAGAAGAACAATTCTTGTCTGTGTATTATTGAGCATCGTACAAGGGTTAATATACACAATTGTCTAACGTTTACATCTTGTTAAACAAGGAAAGAATCTGTCAAGGGTTATTCTGCAATATTCTGCAATATTTTAGCAGCATATATCTCTGTTTCCATGTTGTGATATTCTTCTTGCCTTGTGTGTTCATCCGAGAGATGTTCCAGATCATGAATGTGTCCTTGTATTGTATCATTCCCCCTCAAGCTTGGACCGCGATTATCAGCGAGTCCAAGCTTGCGAAGGAA